GACTGCATACAAAGAAATCTCAAAAGAAAGCATTTCTAACTTGATTGTGGACCATATGAAATCCAATTCATCTACGCTCTGCCACGACACCAGGTCCATTCCAATGCGGAAGCATGACGCTCTGGCTTTGGTAAGGCTGAGATCCGTCTCTGTGGTGACTGGCTGCACTGAGTAGCAGGTGTCAATGCGACGCTTGGAGTAAGGACATCCTGTGTCTATAAGATGATGCATAGAATAGGGTTGGCATGAGTCACTGGCTGCTTGGACTTTTGAAATTTACCCGGGACAAATGCAAAACCAAAGTTTTGGGGGCAAAAGTTTGACACTTTTTCATGGGACTATTTATGACCTTTCTGAGGGGATTTGGACGGGAGAGAAATGAACGAACCAAAGAAAATCGACTTTCCTCAATACATTTTCCAGTAGAAATTTTGTTTCTTTTTTCAGGGGGGCGCGGCACGGTACGGCCCCCGAGGGCCCCCTGCCGCTTTGAACTGATTTCGCATCAGCCCTGTTGATAGGGTTTATTTAAAAGACAGCAAATCGACAATCTGTCAATTTGTTTCAATCATGCTCGGTACCATGGAAGTACGGGAATTTGCCAGTTCATCAAGCTATTTTGCCTCTTATTGGCTACATATCGCTGCAGTTTGGCGATTATCGTTGTCTGTGTCTAATTTGCGGTTTATGTTGAAATACAGGATTAAAGGAGAAAACTAAACCACTCAGAAATGTATCTAAATACAACAAAAAAAAACAGGTTTAAGAAGAGTGTCACAAGCCACTGGGTTTAAAGCAGATTTAGTCTGCCGTAGTTTGCTTTCTTTAGATATGATGATGTTCATGATCAAACAGATGTCCTCGAAAGGTTGAGGTAAATTCCGCTTTTATTTCAAGGCAATTTTTTCGCTCTTTACGGAGCCAAATTAATAATATTCCATAGGCAGTGTTGACATGGATCTATGGCCTGTGTTATATCAGGGGATTGACGAAAACTCCGAGGCCTATGAAAAGATTGTATAATTATGTGTCATGAAGCACCAACATTTACACACACATAAAGGCTTGATCATCTAGAAGGGATCACAAAAAGGTTGCATTGCGTATTATTCCAGCTTAATATCAGCTCTAATTAATTAACCAGCTGTGTTTAAAATTGGTGCATGTAGCTAAGAAGGAGCAGCAGGGTGGGGCCTATTACAGGTGCCCAGGGCGCACAGACTGGCAGTTTCCAAAGCCCCCAGAATACTTAACACGTTTCTAAAACAGATATTCTAAAAAAGGTTATAAATTTGATAGGTCGAATTGATTTCCAGTACCGTAGTTATCGCCTTTAATTTTTAACCAGTAAAATTTAGATTTGTCCCCTCCTTACACAAGAGCCCAGACAATATATTCTGGTGAAATGGCAAATGGAAAAAGTATCTTTAGTGCAAACCTGATTGTTTTCTATTTCTATTAGAACTAAAACTGAAATTTATAAATTTTAACATTTAGTCCGCGGGTTTTTACTCTTCGGATTTCGTCAGAAGTGCTAGCTAAAGTATCGTGGGCGCTCTTAAAGAGGCCTCAATTGGTTACACTACCGCAGGTCTGGTTGCCTAGATTAAACAAAGAAGGTATTTATCTTAAAATTTTATATTAATAAATGTATTCCTTGCATGGAAATAAAAGAAAAGAATTTTGATGCGTTGTTAAGTGTGTAGCATGGTTTGTTGTCTTCAATCGTTCCTTAAGGCCGGTTCATACATCTCACGAAAGTAACCGAACACGAATTTGCGACGTCAGTGGAAAAATCGCGTTGCAAATTTGCAAACGTTTAACACTATTCGACTCGAGAGAAATCTCGCTGCAAATTTTTCGTGACGTCAAATTCAGTTTCGTATTCGAGCGAAGTATGAATCAGCCTTCACTCTGTAAAAAAAAATTTCGATAAAAATTGACAATGTTGTTTCTATGAAGCTATAAAATGAACAACCAGCTTATCTAGAAAAAAATTGCCACCCCCAAAAAACAACTCGATTTATAGGATCTGACGTTGTAAGCACGGTGATGTACGACAGTGAAGGCACTCGTGTAAACACGACTGGTACTGGAAAGTGGCGAATTTTAACCAAATGACAGGTGGAATTGATTAATAATTCATCTGATATCAGGGGGTTTCGGAATTGCTGGGATGCAAACTACTACTTAACTTACCTTTTTTAATAATAAATTTTTATTCATGATTACTGTTTGTGTTGATTTAGCCCAAGTAAACCAAGTCAACACCGTTTTCAAAATGACAATTGATTCAGTATGATGCACTCCCCCAAAAAGACGACGTAGCCCGTGTGAAGCAGGCATTGATGTGGTTGATAATGATTGTTCTCTTTTGTGATTTGTTTCAGACATTGTGGCATTATTAATGGCACAACTGAAAGCTTTACCACTGGGCTATTGGAGATTCCGAGAATCCTGAAAAAAATGCTTTAAAAATGATTGAAAAAATGAGAAAATACAAAAATAAAGAGTGATCCTAATAAACTCTCAGTGCAACTAAATTCTTGCTCTCATAACTTATCGCAGAAGACAGATTTTCCATAATGAAAATGACCCCAGTTACGCGTTAACTTGGATGGTCATTAAGCTTACGTAATTTTACCTTTAAGTAGTGTGGTTCTACACCCTGAAACACCCCCACATTCTGTCTGGATAATTTGCTCGAGATCCTAAAGCAAGCTGTTCTTTAATCTTACCTGCTTTGATTGCAAAAGTATCCAGAAGGCCAGTATTGCAATAGCAAGTTGAACCGACAGATGTCTGGAGAAAAAGATGATAATCACTTGAATGAATATCGACATAGCGAGTTATTACTTGGAAGATTTATTCGATCTCTAGATTTAAGTACAGCTGTTGTTGAAAGGTACCGTTTAGTGTGGTAAGACATAGTTCTTTTCAACTTTCAAGGCATCCTGTAAGAAAAAAAATCGTTGTATTTAAAGTTCTTTGAAGATCTATAACCATTTTCTTGAATTCTGCTACCACTTTTTGAATTCCAAACAAGCATTGTTAAAAAGAACAGTGAGCTTAACGAATACAGGCACCACGTTTTAAACCAATGCATAATTATTAGGCTTGTGTGATTGAAATTTTCTTGGTTTCCATACCGATGAGAGTCAATTTAACTTGAGTTCACCTGACAATTAAACTGAAGTACTTCTACAGTACAAATCAAAACTTACCAGTACGATGATCCAAAAGAAATTCATTGAGAACGGACGTGAACTGCGTTGGGAGTATACGCTCAATAATACGGCACGGTAACTGCGAACCATGAAGGGATACTCTGACTGCACCTATCACAATCTGTCTTTAACGTCGTTCATACCTGATTTTATAGAGTGAGGCGCTACGCATTACGAAGTCAAGTGGTTGTTATGGCGCAGAAACCGGTCTGGAGGGTATGAGAGTTTTTCCAGTTATATAAAACGTGGAAGATTGCGCGTCGTACAAAATGTACTCGTAGTTAGTGCAACCAAACCAATCAGTCATCAGATGAAGGAGCATTGCTGTGCCAACAATTCGCTTTTAGTGAATTAAATCACTTTTCAGCTTATTAATTTATAAATTTTATGACACGTCCCATAAACCAGAGAGAAAGGAGGCGGTCAAGTACTTAGGTTTTCACTCTCAGTTTCCCGAGATTAATTCCGGTCACTCAAAGTCCACGTACCTCGCCTCGACAAATTTGGTAGCATCCATTATTTCTTTGAACCATTACGAAAAGACTCGTTCGTGTCGAGCAGTGACAAATCGGGTTAATTACAACGACAGTAATCGCCAGCAATTAGCTGCAGGGGCCAAGTTCCCGGAGCTACTACTTTAGGCACACACATTTGGTAAGCACGGAAAATGCGTATTTAGGCCCAAACAGGGTGCTATGTAGCCAGAGATGTCAAGTTTATTGCTTACCATTATTTCTCCGCTCACTGAGACATAGAGATGCGTTTTGAAGGTTTGTATTAAAACAAATTGATTACAGGGTAGCTGCAATTAATTTGTTTTAATACAAATCTTCAATATCCAACTTAACCTAATTTTCAACCTTTTGTTTGTTTGTGTGTTTCACTGCCTTTTTGGTGTTTATGCTACTGAGAATTGTTATTTTCATGAGCAAAACTGTGACGTCATCCAAAGCCTCAATGTTACATTGGTTTATGCACAAAAATGCCTGCATTTCTGTAGATTTTGCTGGATTACGTTTTCTCTTTGCTGATTCATTGGTGTCCGTGTGCACAGCAATAAGCAAGCATCAATCCCTTTCTCAGAATGTTTTGAATAAGTGAGTTCTTGTTTAACAATTCGAACAGAAAAACCTAAACTGGGTTATGTCTTCCCTGGATTACATTACAACTGCAGCACCCTTAGTTGTCCAGGAAGTCATAGTTAATTATAAGTGTTTTAAAAAGTGCATCTTTCGATGCATTTAAACAAATAGGAAAGTAAAAGAATCTCCATAAGTTACAAAAAAATTATGTCTGAAAGAATTCTTGTAGTTATGCTTTAACGCTTCCAATTGCCAGCGTTAATGATATAGAGCTTGGAGTTCAAAATACAAAGTTTAATTAAACTCCACGTGGGATACCGGAAACGAAACAAACTAAAAAACTAAAATTGGACCAGAGTAAAAAAGTGTTATCTAAGGGGGATTTTAATATATATTTACTGAATATTGATATTCACGCTGGTAGTTATGATGCACTAAACCTCCTCTATACATATCTTTCCTGTCCTACTGTTGATAAACCACTGGAATAAATGAAAATTCTGCAACATTGACTGACAATATCCCTACAAACAACACTGAATCAGTCTCTTCCTGAGTGTGTTTACCGTGTAGACTGATACCAGCGTGTAACGTAACGCAAGTGTCTTTATTGCTGCATGGCTCACAAATACATCATGCGAGAATACATGTCAGTAACAAACATGGCGGGGATCTATGGTGGTCTGTAAGTGCCATGCATGACTGCAAGCTATACCTCTATAACATCTCCCTTTCTTTTGAATTAAGAGTCATCGGGTAAAAAAATGGATGAAAGTTTCTACCTCTTCTTTTTTCAAAACAGCAAATCGTCATAAAGTTAGTGTTAACAGTCGACACTCTGTTTTGTTTTGTTTTGTTTTGTTTTGTTTTGTTTTAGGAAAGGCATAACTTTTTCTGGCAAAACTAAGGTGAACAATATTCCGTAACATTTATGAACGTTTGGTGTTTTGTTGTTGCTTTAAACACTTTAGAACAATAAAGAAACACATAAGAGCAATAAATGCTGAGCAATGTTTAATTAAAACAAGTGTTCAAGAATCGTGCCAACTATTCCTTGTTTGAGTCTCTGACAGTTCTTATTGATTCTCAGGTAGTGTTCATTTAGGTCACATATATAGTCCTTGAGATACTTGGGACGCTTGGAGATTTGCCAGACCTAATCACAACCTGTGATTCACTGTGAGAGGCAGATTATTCGGGAATTGAGTCTGGTGATGTATAGAGGGTGCGTCCAGGATCAGGGCTTTGTCAGCTGTGTTTCCTGTATTGGGTGTAACCAATGTATCCTGAGGTGAACTCAGTTTCTACGGTACTGACGTTCATCCACCTCAACGATGTACCTTCGTGGGGACACTTTATCTCTAACAACGCCAGGTTTCCAAGGAACTTTGTCCACATGAGGACGGGTTTTGACAGGTTGGCCAACCACCAGCTAAGGTAATGGCTTGGCACAGCGGTCGTAGAATTTCTTGGCCTGTTGCTTTGATTTGGTACTACTTCCTGTGGTTCTGGCTTGTAGAAAGAAGTGTTGCATGGCATAAGGTTTCTGCCTCAGCGTGACATGAGGTGTTGAGTTGGAGAACTGGTCATCCCTGGTATTGGAGTGTTGCACCACTCGAGAATGGACAGCCACACGTCTCCACCATCTCGTTTGGACCGCTTGATGAGATATTTTATGATTTGACGGCAAACTCGGCCTTGTCGTTGGCTCTGCTGTCATAGTGATCTAGCAAAAGTCCCATTCGTGAGCAACTGGCTGAACTCTCGAGAGGCGTAGTTTGGTCCGTTGCCACTTATAAGTGTAGCCGTGTGTGGCAAAGACTGGTTCTGTTTTCTTCACAAGTGTCTCCGTGGTCAGGTCCTCAAGCTCTGCAATTTCTATGAAGTCAGAATACATGTCAACAAAGACGCAGTACGGCTGACCATCCAGCTCGAAGCAGTCAGTTGTAACAACTTGCCATGGGCCGGTTGGTAAGGGATGCGTCATCAGAGACTCTTTACAATTTGCAGGTTGAACCTCCTGGCAAGTAGGGCATTTCTGGACAACATCAGTAAGTTCTTGATTCATGTACAGCCAGAACCTGATCTCGCCTGCCTTGTTGATTGTGCTCTGGATTTATAAGTGTGATGCTTGGGATCTAGCAAGGAGATCACGTCTCAGGTTTGCGGGTATCACAACTCTGGTACCTCTGAAAATGATACCATTTTGTGTGTCTAATTCGTCCCGATAGGGCCAGTACTTTCTGATAGAGAGTGGCACTTACTGCTCGGACATCCTGCCATAACCAAATTGGCCAGCGACTGCAGAGTTGTGTCACGAAGAGTTTCCTCCCGGATACACTGGAGTCTATCATCTTAGACAGACACTTCAGACTCCACATTGATATCTGCCAACTCCTTCCGGAAGCGGCAATCTTCCTCAACTTGGAAGATGATGTAGGGTGGCGTGTTCCCAGTGACTTTTGTGGAGACAACTATCCTCGTGAGAGAGTGTCACTAATGGACAGTTATTTATCAATGGTCAGAGGTATACTCCCACTCGACCCTCCTGACTCATAAAAGCTTGCCAAGAGACCAAGGTGATTACGTGTATCAGTATTTCCATCCATATCATAATTTGGTGTCCTAAGAATCTGATTACTTGATCGGAGCGGTATGAAGCTGTAGTGTTACTCCATCACAACATGCAAAATTAAATATTGCTATTATCACTTCACTGATCTAGACTAGCACGAATTCATACATGTAATCTTACTAGCCCTATTCTCACCTTTATTTCCTGTTGTGACCTGTTTGTGTTTGTTTTTAGTTTTAATTTCAGTACCTATATATACCTGTTATATTTCCAAAAATATCAAAATGAGATTTTCTGTGATAATTGTAAACTTTGGATGCATCTTAAATGTACTAATTTGGACCTCACTGACTACTATAATTTCACGAAAGATGATAATGCTTGGCTGTGTCTACAGTGCCTGGTTGATAATTTACCATTTAATTGTTTAGGTCCTAAAGAATTTGATAGTGTAATAATGGACTTAAACTCATCTACACATGTGCCTATGAAATTAGAGACCATATTAGACTTACACCCTGGTGAGTTACCATTTATAGAAGATCCAAATAACCCTCACCCTATGATTAGTAAATCCTCTTACTATTCACATAACAATTTTCAGGACTACTTCAGTGCTAATCCAGCGGAAACTTTCTTGCTTTAACACGTAAACATGAGAAGCTTACCAAAAAATATTGATTCTTTGAAACTTTTGCTTAATCCCTTAAATCATAACTTTTCCATCATAGTTTTGAGTGAAACTTGGCTTAACGCTAACTCAAGTATGAGTGAATCGAATATACCTGGGTATACTCTAAAAACTAAAAATAGACAAAATCGAACCGGAGGTGGTGTTGGATTATATATCTTAAGTAGCCTCCAATATGTTCTGAGGCCAGACCTGAATGCCATTAATGGTAGCACTCCAGAATGTATTTTTCTCGAAATTATTACCCTTCATAACCAAAAGAACATAATTGTTGGGGTCGTATATAAACCACTGGATGCTAACTTTGACGATTTCCTAAGGTCATTTAATTTAATCCTCCATAATGAAACTAAAGATAATAAATATGTTTTAATAACTGGTGATTTTAATTTAATTACTTCCGATAGAGTTGGCCATCCACAGAAATTTCTAGATCTCATTTACTCATTTTCCTGCATACCTCTTATTTTCAAACCCACTAGGATAACAAGCACATCTGCAACTTTAATTGATAATATAGTCACTAACATATTACCATTACCAAAATCTAGCATTCTAGTGACTGATATATCGGACCATTTTTCCAGTATTTACTGCTTTCATATTTACGACAAACCGACATAATTCTCATCATTGTTTTACTCGCGATTTTACAGATGCAAATATTACAAACCTAAAACAAAAACTTAGACAACATGATTGGAGGTCAGTCATTAACACGCAGGATGTAAATTGTNACCTTTGATAACTTCACGGATATTTTCAACGTAGACCTTAATAAGCATCTTCCTTTAAAACGGGTTTAATCAAAGCCAACAAATTGGTTCCTAAAGTCCTTCGGTCACTGTCAGTTCATGTAAATCCATTAATCATAAAAACAAACTTTATCGCAAGTTTAAGTCTAACCAGACAGAAACTAATCATGCTAGATATGTATGATATAAAAATGTACTGACAACTGTCCTTCGTAATTCTAAACGTATTTACTTAATTAATTGCCAAACAATTTAATAAAGAAAAGGGAAATATTAGAAATACTTGGAAAATAATAAACAATGTATTGCATAACCACAATAGTCATCAAACTGAATTAAAAATCGAATCACATGGTGTATCCATTGATAATCCTAAGGACACTACAAATTATTTTGATAATTATATTTCAAATATTGGTAAGAATCTCTGTGATGAAATCCCGGATAATGACCTTAATTTGAATTATTTAACAAATCCTAACATTGATTCTATTTTTCTCCCCTGTAACAGAAGAGGAGATCATCGAGCTAGTATGTAAACTGCCAAATAAGAAGAGTGCGGGGTTTGATCAAATTAATAGCACACTGATTAAGGAAGTTATTCGAAATATTACTAATCCATTAACATAAATTATGAATCTTTTTATTTCCACGGGTATGGTACAGATAGCATAAAGAT